CCCCAGAGGTGCCTGAGCCCTTTGCTCTGCTCTATAAGGAGAGGGGCTGAGCCCCCCCCCGAACCCCCCCTGCACCAGGAGCTGGTGATGCCCCCGTAGCCAAAATACCTGTGAGATGCTGGGAAAAGCCATCCCTGAGCATCCTGCTGCCGGTGAGGCCAAGAGGGGCCTTGATGGGGGACACTGGGACAGCCCCCAGCACCACTGAGGTTCCCCTCATTGAAGCAGCCCCATAGCACTGGGGTGAATGGTTTTGGGGGGTGAGACGCCACTGAGGAGCACATCCCCATGGGACCATCGCTGGGGGGACTGGTGGTGCCCAGTGGTGGGGATTGGGATGCTCCATGGCTGGATGGGAGTCCCTTGTGCCTAAGTGTGGGGGATGTGTGGATGGATGGATGGACAGATGGGTGGGTGGATGATGGATGGATGGATGGATGGATGGAGGGATGGATGGATGGATGGAGGGATGGAGGGATGGATGGATGGATGGATGATGGATGGGTGGATGGATGGATGGATGGATGGGTGGATGGATGGATGGATGGATGATGGATGGATGATGGATGGATGGATGATGGATGGATGGATGATGGATGGGTGGATGGATGGATGGATGGATGATGGATGGATGGGTGGATGGATGGATGATGGATGGGTGGATGGATGGATGGATGATGGATGGATGTGTGGATGGATGGATGGACAGAGGCACATCACACATGGGAGCTGCCAGTCCACCTAAATACAACCCCCTGGTCCTTCACCCCCTGCAATGGAGCTGAGCAGAGGAAACACCCCCACCCCCCCCACCCCCCCTCCAAACCCAGTTCAGGGCTGGTTTCACCCCTTGCAAAGCATCTATGAGCCAGGAGGCCATGGTGACGGTCGCAGGGGTCAGCCAGAACCACCCCACCATGGGATACCCGGCCCATGTGTGAACCCCTCGCATCCTTCAGCGCAGGGAAAGGTCCTTACCTGTGAGCTGCCCAGTGCCTTCTGCAGCCCAGGCCATGGTGCGGGGCCGGTGGGACCCAGAACCCTTGAGCTCAGCTGGGCCCCACTGCAGGGAAGTGAAACCCCAGCGTCACCAATGATGCTGGGGGCTGAGCACCCAGCTCCGGGCAGGGTTGGTCCTGCCCTGGCTGCAAAGCAGGCTCAGGGGGAACTGAAACCCCTCCTGCTCCAGCCATGAGCTGCTTTGAGCAGCTCCAGTGCCTAAAGGGGCTGCAGGAAAGCTGGAGAGGGGCTTGGGACAAGGGATGCAGGGATGGGATGAGGAGTTTGGGATCCAGGCTGGAAGAGGGAAGAGTTGGATGGGATACAGGGAAGTTCTCCCCTATGAGGGTGGTGGGACATGGGAATGGGGAGAAGCTGTGGCTGCCCCATCCCTGCAGTGCTCAAGGACACAGGGGCTTGGAGCAAGCTGCTCCAGTGGAAGGGGTTGGGGTTGGAGCTGGAGGAGCTTTAAGGTCCCTTCATCCCAACCCATTCCATGGTTCCATGCCCTCAGCCTCCCCCCCGGCACCATAGGCAATGTCACCTCCCAGCTCTTACTCATCGGGCTCTGCCCTTTCCCAGCATCAATCCGGGATCAAGTGAATTCCTCTCCCCTCACTGCAGCCTCCAAACACCCATGAAAATCAATGGGCTCCGATCCCATGGGATGGGGATGAGGATGCTCCGGAGCCTCCGCAGGAGCTCTGCATTAACACTCCCCTTGTAAGTGCTCCATCCAAGGAGTAAATCCAGCTCCTGTATAAGGCAGAGCTCCTTGCACACCCTTTACAGGTGGGTTCTGGAGCATCCTTGCCCCAGCCCTGGGAATAACAAGAGATTTTAGATGTTATCCACCACTTTTCCTTGTGGATTCGGGTAGGGAATGGGGATGCTTTGACCAAATCCAGCCCCAAAGCTCTCATCTTAAGGCAGGAGATGAGCGTGGTCCTCATAGCCACCATGGCATCACCTTCTCCCCCTTGCAACCACAGGGGGGGCTTTCCTGATCCTCTCCTTTGAATACTCACTCTAAGTGTTCCTTGGGTTCACCCCATCATCCGGTGAACAGGATTTACTGGGATGCGGCTCCACTCAAGGAAATGGGTGTCCATAACAGCTCCTAAACCCCATGGTGTCATCAGGGAAAATGGGATTTGCCAGCTGGAAAAGCAGTGATCCACTTCATGGCTGTAAGTCCATGGCAACAGGGATCAAAGAGGCTCCATCAGAGGGCCATTAAAGCCGCTCATCTTCCCCATGTGCATCCTCAGCGCTGCTTGAGCAGGCCTGGAGCTCTGTATCCCACAGGAAGCGCTCTCCATGGAGCCCGGAGGTTTCCATCGCTCCTGCAGGATGCTCAGAGCAGGAACCAAGCTTCATAGAATCATGGAATAGTTCGGGTTGGAAAGGAGCTTGAGATCACCCAGTTCCAACCCCCTGCCATGGGCAGGGACACCTCACACTAAACCATGGCACCCAAGGCTCTGTCCAACCTGGCCTTGAGCACTGCCAGGGATGGAGCATTCACAGCCTCCCTGGGCACCCATTCCAGTGCCTCAGCACCCTCACAGGGAAGAATTTCCTCCTTAGATCCAATCTAAACTTCCCCTGTTTCAGTTTTAACCCATTACCCCTTGTCCTGTCACTACAGTCCCTAATGAAGAGTCCATCCCCAGCATCCCTATAGGCCCCCTTCAGACACTGGAAGCTGCTCTGAGGTCTCCATCAGCTTCTCTTCTCCAGGCTGAACAGCCCCAGTGTTCTCAGCCTATCTCCATACAGGAGCTGCTCCAGCCCCTGAGCATCCTTGTGGCCTCCTCTGGACTTGTTCCAACAGCTCCATGTCCTTTTTATGTTGAGGACACCAGAACTGCACACAATGCTCCAGGGGAGGTCTCACGAGAGCAGAATAAAGGGGCAGGATCCCCTCCTTCGCCCTGCTGGTCACGCTCCTTTGGATACAGCCCAGGATACGGTTGCTTTCTGGGCTCAAGCACACACTGAAGCCGGCTCATGTTCATTTTCTCATTGCCCAGCACCCCCAAGTCCTTCTCTTGGGCTGCTCTGAATCTCTTCTCTGCCCAGCCTGTAGCTGTGCCTGGGATTGCTCCCACCCAGGTGTAGGACCTTGCCCTTGGCATGGTTGAACTCCATGTGGTTGGCATCACCCCACCTCACAAGCGTGTCCAGGTCCCTCTGGATCCCATTCCTTCCCTCCAGCGCATCAACCCAACCACACAGCTTGGTGCCACCACAAACCTGCTGCGGGTGCATCAATCCCACTGTCCATGTCCCCAGCCCAAGGCTTCTCCTCCGCTCCCAGCAGCGGCTCTGGGCTCTCACCCGCCCTGCTCCATCTGCCTGTGCCTGAGGCGATGGGAACTGTGAAGCACAGCTTGGAGCAGAGCTGTGAAGAGCCAAGAGCATCCCTGCAGCCTCCCCCCGATGCCATCCCTGCCTCCAGCCTGGAGACAGCACAATACAGCTTCAATAGCATCATGGAATGGTTTAAGGAAGGGATCTTAAAGCTCCTCCAGCCCCAACCCCTGCCATGGGCAGGGACCCCTTCCATAGAGCAGCTTGCTCCAAGCCCCTGTGTCCAACCTGGCCAGGGATGGGGCATTCCCAACCTGTGCCAGCGCCTCAGCACCCTCCCAAGATCGAGGAATGCTCAACCCTGCCCCTTAGGGAAGGGAATAAAAGCATCAGGATTACCCCACTGCTGGCCCAGGCAGCAGGGAGCCAGTGCAGGGAATAGGGGACATTCCCTGCATCCCCTACTGTGTGCCCTTGGAGCAAACCTACAGCCCCAGTGCTGGGAGCAGCTCATCCAGGAGCTCTTTGCTTCCAGTGCTTCTGCCTTCACTTCTCCAAGTCCCCAACAGCTACGTGCATCCTGCCCGCCTGCATCCCCCATGGGCTCCAGGGGGCACCTCCTGCACCCTCCATGTCCCCTCAGCACCTCTCTCTAGAGCTCTCTAAAGCCATCAAACCCATGAGCAATGCAGAGGGTGATGTCCTCGTGTGATGGAGCCCAGCACATGTGCACTGCAGGGATGCTGCTGCAGCAGCCGCTGGGAAGAACACAGCCTGTATCACAGCTCTCAAACAAACCCCATCCTATGAGCTCACCATCAGCACACGCAGCCAGAGCCAGGGGGTCTGTGCCTCACCTTTGCCACGGGCCAAAACTGGCCCCAAGGAGCTGTTTTCCTAAGGAATTCCTCAAGAAGCCTTCCCAAGCCATGAAAGCGGAGCCCTGGCTGCTGGGGACCATGGGGACATCAACCCTAGCACAGGCTGGAGGTGAAACGATGGGAAAAGGGGGGGTTATAAGGAACAAAGAGCAAAGGTTTCACCTCCTCCTCACTGTGATCATCTGGATCTCCCCCCCTTTGGAAAAGGGGAGGCCTGGGATGCGCAGCAGCACCGGGAATGCCAAGAGATGACACAAAAGGGAGGCTGCAAAACTCACTCCGTGCCTTGCTCCCTATGGAGAGCATCATGAACCACATCCCCAGGGCCAGAGAGAGGAGAGAAGTGGCCGTTTCCAACACCCCAATGACCCAAACCACCAGGTTGAGAGCTTCAGGTCCCATCCCCACAGCCACAGAGCACTGGGGAGGGGATGGGACACACACACACACACACCAGCATCCTCCAGAGGTGGCAGCTTCCCAATGGGAATCCGTGGGGAGCTGGACACTTGGCTCACTTTATTCTCTCTGTAATGAATGGCTCTGTGTAAACCTCAGTTCAACGTCAAGCACGTCCTGCTGCCAAACCACCCCAGCTCCTGCTTGGGAAGCCCAGGGTGGGCAGTGCCAGGGAGAGGAGCTTGGATGCTCCTTGTGCTCAGCTGGAACCAAGCATCCTCCTTGCACACAGTCCTGGGGCTGGATGGAACCCTCCCCTCTGCATCCGGTACCTGCAGTCAGTGCCCAGGGCCAGCGTTCCCAGCAATTCCCAGGCAAATCCCACTGGGATTCATCAAGGAGGGATGGGGTCAGGGCTGCTGCCCCACAGCCCCCTGCACAGTCTGGGGCTGCCCCGCTCCGTCAGGGCAGCATCCCTGCTCAGTAGATCTTCTGTCGGCTGGGCAGGATGGCCTCCTTGATGAAAGAGAAGATGAGGAGGATCCCAGAGCGCTTCCCCCTCTTCCCTTTGGTGAAGTAGTTGGAGACCACGTCGTCTGTGGGGATAAGGGGAGCAAAATCAACCACTGGTGGGTTTGGTTTCAGGGCCTGAAATGCATGGGAGCTGCTCGTGTGCTCCCATCTGGCTTCCTTTAAAGCATGGAAGTTACTGGTTTGATCCCATCCAGCTGCCTTTAAAGCATGGAACTTGCTGGTTTGATCCCATCTGGCTGCCCTTAAAGCATGGAACTTGCTGGTTTGATCCAATCCAGCTGCCCTTAAAGGATGGGAGTTACTGGTTTGATCCCATATGGCTGCCCTTAAAGCATGGAAGTTACTGGTTTGTTCGCATCGAGCTGCCCTTAAAGCATGGAACTTGATGGTTTGATCCAATCCAGCTGCCCTTAAAGCATGGAAGCTACTGGTTTGCTCCCATCCAGCTGCCCTTAAAGCATGGAAGTTACTGGTTTGTTCGCATCGAGCTGCCCTTAAAGCATGGAACTTGATGGTTTGATCCCATCCAGCTGCCCTTAAAGCATGGAAGTTATTGGTTTGATCCCATCTGGCTGCCCTTAAAGCATGGAAGTTACTGGTTTGTTCGCATCGAGCTGCCCTTAAAGCATGGAACTTGATGGTTTGATCCCATCCAGCTGCCCTTAAAGCATGGAAGTTACTGGTTTACTCCCATCCACCTGCCCTTAAAGCATGGAACTTGCTGGTTTGATCCCATTTGGCTGCCCTTAAAGCATGGGAGTTACTGGTTTGATCCCATCCAGCTGCCCTTAAAGCATGGAAGTTACTGGTTTGATCCCATCTGGCTGCCCTTAAAGCATGGAAGTTACTGGTTTGATCCCATTTGGCTGCCCTTAAAGCATGGAAGTTACTGGTTTGATCCCATCTGGCTGCCCTTAAAGCATGGAAGTTACTGGTTTGATCCCATTTGGCTGCCCTTAAAGCATGGAAGTTACTGGTTTGATCCCATCTGCCTGCATTTAAAGCATGGCAGTTGCTGGTTTGCTTCCCTCTACCCTACCTGATGCTCCCATAAGCCATTGACAGGGAGCCCAAATCCTGAGCTCCCTGTCTGAAGCTTCAGGGAGAGCCCACAGAAAGCAACAGGGCCCCAGGGCTGGAGAGATGCAGGATGTGAAGCAGGAAGCACCCCTCGCTCTGCTCACTCACCCCTTTCCCTGCCTTGCCTTTGGAAGGGTTCACCCCACCTGCTGCACCCTGCCCCTGCTCCATGCAGCGGGAATGGGGGGTGCAATGGGCTGTGCTGAGCCCAGAGCCCTGGGGAAGGCCATCACTCACCTCCAGGCTGCACTGTGGAGGGCAGGACGTTCTCCCCAGCCGACAAGGAGACGAAGAAAGCAAAGGGGATTAACCAGAGGCAGAAGGTGAAGTAGGCAAGAACCTGCAGGCAGAGAGACACAGGCAGTGAGAGCAGAGGCACAGCCCATGGGGTACCCCAAGTGTCTCCCTGAACCAGCCCCCCCTGGAGATAAAGGGCTCTGAAGGGGTAGAAGTGCAGCTCAACCCCTCCCAAGCCTCAGGTGCTCAGATACTGTCCCACTGTGGAGCTGGGAAGGGGACACACAGCACCCAGGAGCATCCATGGAAGGATGCAGGAGAAGCCTTTGCTCCTGGAAAGCTCCACTGCTCCCAGCCATTCCCAATGAGAATGAAGGAAGCAGGATGCTGGTTGTGCTGCTTTGAACCAGGAAATCCCCTTCACACTTCCAGGGGCTAAAAGGAAGAAGCAAGACCTGGGATTGCTCCTCCTGCCCTGGGATGGGGCACTGGGGTTTGGGGAGAGCAGAGCTGCTGCATCAGCCTCTCTGTGCCCCTAAACACCGGTTAAACTGCCTAAAAACCTGTGGGTTTCATCAGTTTGGTGGAGATTTTCTCTGTTTTTTAGAATCTGCACCAAGTGGCAGCTATTTTGGGGCAGGACAAGCCCTTTTGGAGAGTTTGGGCCTTCCCATAAAGACGGTGACAGAGAATTAGTGCATCAGAGAGATAAAAATAGCGGTAATTCCAGAAGGGAAGGGATTTGTGGTCAAAAGCCATTCAAAATGATCTCGTTTTCCATTGTCCTGGGGTTTAGCACATCAGAACAGTGCAGTCTGTGCTTTGCACTCAGTGCTTTTCATGCCTTTGAGTGGCTGAGGAAGCCCCAAGCCCCATCCTGGAGCTGAAGGTGCTGAGGGCACAGGAGCCCCGAGGGAAGGGGTGCGAGAAGCATCCTGAGCACAACAGCATCTCCCAGCCTCCAGCAGCTCCACATGGACTGGGAGAGCAGGGATTGACTCCTTCCCAAAGGCCTCTCACCTCAGAGAACAGGTAATACTCCTCAGCGAAGTACTGGAACGCCAGGTAGTGATTGAATATAACCAGCCCTGCAAAGGAGACAGCACAAACAGCATCAGCTCAGCCCCAAGGCGATGCAGGACGAGGAGGAGGGAGCAGCTCCTTGCTGGGAGCCCAGCCCCTCGGTGATGCTCAGCCCCTTGCACCCGCATCCTCCTGCTGCTAAAAGACTTTCACAGCTCGGGGTGTGAGCAGCACCAGCCCCAGATCCCCTCTCCCTGTGCTGCTTTACTCACCCTGGCCCAGGGGAACCCAGCCTGACACTTGCTAATGCTGCCCGGAGCTGAGAGCAGCACAACAGAGCAACCCCTACCCAGAGGGGGGGACCAGCAGCTGCTGCAGGGAGCAGCTCCTCTGCCATGGGCAAAGCAAGTGAAGCTGAAATGGGGGCAGGACATGAGGCTTAGAGCTGGTCCCAGCACTGGAAACGCCATTGAGCTCTCAAGAGGCAGGAACTGGAGCTGCTTGTGCCTTTTAGCCAAGCCAAGAAGACCCCAGCTCCAGCCCAGCAGCCCCAGGGCAGGCAGGAGGCAGAGCCCCATGTGGATTTATCCTCTTTTCATCCATCACCAGTTTGGCTCCAGGAAACACATCCCTGCTCTATACCCTATGGGAGAACAGTGTCCAAGGCCAGGTTGGACACAGGGGCTTGGAGCAAGCTGCTCCAGTGGAAGGGGTCCCTGCCTGGGGCAGGGGTTGGGGCTGGAGGAGCTTTAAGGTCCCTTCCAACACAAACCATTCCCTGGTTCCATGCTAATCCTGCCTACACTGCTTGGAGGTGCTCCAGCTGCACACAGACCCGCTCTGAAACCTGCATCAGATCCTGCCTGGTTGCTACCTGAGGTCTCAGTGCCCATCACCCAGAGCAGGGCCTGAGGGCAGATCCATGCCCAGCACAGAACACGCAGGAGGCTCCACAGCCCGCAGGGGATGAAACCAGTTAAGCAGCTCCAAACCAGTCTAAGTGGCAGAGCTGCTGGTGCTGCAGCCCCCATCTCCTTTGGGGTCGCTCTGTGACACGGCTCTGCCTGCTCATGAGCTGAGCACAGCAGGCAACCATGGACTGGTTTGGGGTGGAAGGGACCTTAAAGCTCCAATCCAGCTCCAGGGACCCCTTCCACTGGAGCAGCTTGCTCCAAGCCCCTGTGTCCAACCTGGCCTTGAGCACTGCAGGGATGGGGCAGCCACAGCTTCAACCCATTCCCATGTCCCACCACCCTCATAGGGAAGAACTTCCCTGTATCCCATCCAACTCTTCCCTCTTCCAGCCTGGAGCCCAAACTCCTCATCCCATCCCTGCATCCCTTGTCCCAAGCCCCTCTCCAGCTTCCCTGCAGCCCCTTTAGGCACTGGAGCTGCTCTAAGGGCTCCTCAGGGCTGCCCCATCCCAGTTGGGTTTGTGCTGGGGCAGGACCTTACCCTTGGCCTGGCTGACCTCCACGAGGCTCCCACAGGGACCCAGGAACAGGTCAGGAACCGGTTTTCTTCCCCATGAATGAGGAAATGGGCTTTGTCCCAAAGCTTTTCCTCCTCCAAGCACCAGCCCCTCCTGATGGCAGAGCCCTCCCACCCCTCACGGCCACCGTGCCCCCAGCCTGTGCTTGCACCCATGGGTAAAGACCCACAGTGGGCTTCAACCCCTCCGGCTCTTTGCCCATGGAGCACCCAGAGCAGCTCTGCAGGGAGGACACTGGGATCCCATCCCCACAGGAGTTTGGAGCAGAACCAGAACTGGGAAACCCCAGTTTCCACCCCACACCCCCCCAGTCCACAGCTATCCCAGCCCCACCATAAACCACAGTGACAAAGCCCTGGGCAAAGCTCAAAGTCCTTTTGGAAGCCACGGAGGCTGCAGGAGCAAAAGGCAAAGCTCTGCTGCCACCCAGAGTCCATCTGGGGATGGGGTGACAATGGAACCCATGGGGAGGTGACTGTGTCACCCGTGGGGAGGCGGCAGTGTCACCCGTGGGGAGACGACAGTGTCACCCGTGGGGAGGCGATAATGTCACCCGTGGGAAGGTGACAATGTTACCCATGGGGAGATGGCAGTGTCACCCATGGGGAGGCGATAATGTCACCCATGGGGAGGTGGCAGTGTCACCCATGGGGAGATGATAATGCCACCCATGGGGAGATGACAATGCCACCCATGGGGAGATGACATTGCCACCCATGGGAAGGTGACAATGTCACCCATGGGGAGGCGGCACTGCCACCCATGGGGAGGCAACAATGTCACCCATGGGGAGATGACACTGCCACCCATGGGGAGATGACACTGCCAACCATGGGGAGGCGACACTGCCAACCATGGGGAGGCGACAGTGTCACCCATGGGGAGGTGACAATGTCACCCATGGGGAGATGACAATGTCACCCATGGGGAGGTGACAGTGTCACCCATGGGGAGACGACAGTGTCACCCATGGGGAGATGACAGTGTCACCCATGGGGAGATGACACTGCCATCCATGGGGAGGTGACAGTGCCACCCATGGGAAGGTGACAGCCCCACTCACCACAGGACAGGATGAAGTTGGAGGAGGTGAGCACGATGAAGGGGAAGGTCTGCAGCAGCCCGAAGTAGACGAGGTTGGTGAAGAGCCCCACTCCGACCATGAAGCCAGGGAACTGTTCGAAGAGGTAGAGCCCCACCAGCACGGCCGAGGAGAACTGGGGGAGAAAGTGGGGTGAACATGGGGATTAACATGGGGTGAACATGGGGGTTAACATAGGGTGAACATGGGGGTTAACACAGGGTGAACATGGGGGTCAACACAGGGTGAACATGGGGGTTAACATAGGGTGAACATGGGGGTCAACATAGGGTGAACATGGGGGTCAACATGGGGTGAACATGGGGGTCAACATGGGGTGGACATGGGGGTTAACATAGGGGGAACATGGGGGTTAACATAGGGGGAACATGGGGGTTAACATAGGGGGAACATGGGGGTTAACACAGGGTGAACACAGGGTTGACACGGGGGGGAACACGGGGTGAACTTGGGGGTGAACACGGGGGGAACCCAGGGTGGAACACGGTAGTGAACATGGGGGTGAACATGAGGATGAACATGGGGAGAACACGGGGGTGAACACAGGGGTGACCACAGGGTGAACATGGGGTGAACATGGGGGTGAACACCAGGGTGAACCTGGGGGGGAACATGGGGTGAATGTGGGGGTGACCATGGGGGTGACCGTGGGGTGAACATGGGGTGAACATGGGCGTGACCATGGGTTGAACACGGGGGTGACCATGGGGGTGACCATGGGGGGGAACACGGGGGGTGACCATGGGGGTGACCATGGGGTGACCATGGGGGTGACCATGGGGGGTGACCATGGGGTGAACATGGGGTGAACATGGGGTGATCATGGGGTGACCGTGGGGGTGACCGTGGGGGTGAACATGGGGTGAAAGCAGCAGCACAGGCAAGAGCCCTGCCATGGTCAAGGCGGCTTTGGTGCCGACAGCACCACACCAACCCATGCACCTCCCACTCCACACCAGCCCCTTGGGAAGCATCCAAATGGAACCCCCCCACCCGCCCCCCCGAGCCACACTGGGACAGGGAAGCACTTCCCAAGGGCTCCCCATGCTGTGGCTGCTGTGCCAGCCCCGTGGGGTGACCATGGTGAGGACCCCCCCTGTGTGTGCACGCAGGGACTTACCCAGATCATGTACTTGATGATCCTCTTGGTGACAACCGTGTACTCCTCGATCAGCTCCGCCAGGTAGTAGAGCCCGGCCGCTGCGGACGGAGGTGGGGATGAGCAGGGATGGATGGAGCAGGGATACGGGAGGGAACGTGCACACAGCCATAGGAGACTGAGGGCAGGGGTGAACCCCAGCCCTGCAATGCTCTGGGGACCCCCAATCTCTGGGGCAGCCACAGGATATCAGAGGCAGTGATGGGACCCCCAACCTCAGGGGCTCTCTGAGGTCCCAGGGGCACCCAAGGGCCCCCAGTTTCTGGGCTCCCCAAGGGGTAACAGAAGCACCCGGAGGACCCCAATGTCAGGGGCACCCTCGGGACCTCAATGGCACCAACAGGCCCAGGCCTTCAGGGCCCCCCCAACCTCAGGCACCCTCTGAGCTCCTGCGGGCACCCAGCGGCCCCCCCAATCCCCGGAGCACCCAGAGGGGACCCCAAAGCCAGGAGCTGAGGCCTGGGGGGGGCAACCACGACACCCCCAACCTTAGGACCTCTCTGAGGCCTCGGGGGCACCCAAGGGACCCCAACCTCCATGGGGGGAGGGTCTCTGTGGGCAGCCATGGGACCCCCAACCTCCAGAGCATCCCCGGGGGGTGACGGACACTAATACCCACCCCCCCCTCAGCCCCACGACATATCGCGATAGCCCGCGGGAGGAGGCGGCGGCGGCCTCACCGATGGCCAGGGTGACGAAGGCCACTTGGATGAGCAGGGAGAGCCAGCTCAGCGCGTACATGAACCACATGGCGGGGCCGGGGCCTGCGTCGGGGCCTAGGCCTGGGTCGGGGCCTAGGCCTCGGCCGGGCCTGGACCGGAGCCGCCGCTCCCGCTCCGGGCCCGCTCCTGCTCCCGGTCCGGCGGCGGCGGCGGCGCTGAACACGCGGCGCCGGAACAAGAGAGCTCAGCCGACCCTGCGCGGCCCGGCCGCTGCACGGCGCAACAGCGCCCCCTGCAGGCGCGGAGGGATCCCTGGAGGGAGGGGGGGAACTTGGGGGTGCTCCGAGATGTGGAGGGAGCCCTAAAAGAGCAGAGGGATCCTGGAATGGGAGGGGGGGGGGGTATGGAAACACACGGGGCACCCACAAACAGTATGGGACCCCCGAAATCCTATGGGACCCCCAAACCGCTTTGGGACACCCGCAAACTGCGCAGGGACCCCCAAACCGTAAGGGGACCCCGAACTGTACCAGGGACCCCCCAGATGCCATACAGGAGCCTCCCAAATCACACAGGAACACCCCGACTGCACATGGACCCCCAAACCCACATGGGGACCCCAATGAAACAACTCAGAGACCCCCCGAAACCATACAAAGAATCCCCCCCAAAACCTTACAGGGACCCCGAACCCCATAGGGACCCCCCCAAGACCACACAGGGACACCTCAAAACTATTCAGGGACCCAAAACCATGCAAAGACCACCCGAACCTTACAGGGACCCCCAAAACCCTTCAATACCCCCCCCCAACATGTGTAGGAACCCCCTGCACCCTTATAGAGCCCCCCTGCACCCCTATAGGGACCCCCTGCACCCCTATAGGGACCACCTGCACCGCTATAGGAACCCCCTGCACCCATATAGGGACCTCCTGCACCACTATAGGAACCCTCTGCACCCATATAGGGAACCCCTGCACCCATATAGGGCCTCCCTGCATCCCTATAGGGACGCCCTGCACCCATATAGGGCCCCCCTGCACCCATATAGGGACCCCCTGCACCCCTATAGGGACCCCCTGCACCCCCATAGGGCCCCCCTGCACCCCTATAGGGCCCCCCTGCACCCCTATAGGGACCCCCTGCACCCATATAGGGACCCCCTGCACCCATAAAGGCCCCCCTGCACCCCTATAGGGCCCCCCTGCACCCCTATAGGGACCCCCTGCACCCATATAGGGACCCCTTGCACCCATAAAGGCCCCCCTGCACCCCTATAGGGCTCCCCTGCACCCATATAGGGCCCCCCTGCACCCCTATAGGGCCCCTCTCCGTGTGCATAGGCACACCCCATCCAGCTCTATAGGGCTCCTCGGTGCCCAGATAGGACCCCTTTGCCCAGCCACGCCGCTCCCCATCCATAGGGACCCCTCTGCCCCCCTGCCCCCCCCGAGGCTGGGCTCCTACAGGGACTGCCTTGAGCCCTATGGGACCCCACAACTCCCACAGGGACTCAGGAGCCAGGGGGGGGCCCTGGGGACCCCAGCACCCATTGGGGAGCTCTGTGCCCCTAGGGAGATTGCACACGTACAGGGATCGCCCTCCTCCCCTAGGGACTGGGAGGTACTGGGATGCAGTGGGATGCACTGGGATGCACTGGGAGACACTTGGATACACTGGGATGCACTGGGATACACTGGGATGCACTGGGATGCACTGGGATGCACTGGGATACACTGGGATGCACTGGGATACACTGGGCTGTACTGGGAGACACTGGGATGCACTGGGCTGTACTGGGATACACTGAGCTGTACTGGCATACACTGCACTGTACTGGGAGACACTGGGCTGTACTGGGATGCACTGGGAGACACTGGGATGCACTGGGATACACTGGGCTGTACTGGGATACACTGGGCTGCACTGGGATGCACTGGGAGACACTGGGATGCACTGGGAGACACTGGGAGACACTGGGAGACACTGGGAGACACTGGGAGACACTGGGCTGTACTGGGATGCACTGGGATGCACTGGGATGCACTGGGATGCACTGGGATGTACTGGGATGTACTGGGATGTACTGGGATGTACTGGGATGTACTGGGATGTACTGGGATGTACTGGGATGGAACTGGGATGCACTGGGATGCACTGGGATACACTGGGATGCACTGGGATGCACTGGGATGCACTGGGCTGTACTGGGATGCACTGGGATACACTGGGATGCACTGGGATGCACTGTACTGGGCTGTACTGGGATGCACTGGGTGTTACTGGGATGCACTGGAATGCACTGGGATGCACTGGGATGCACTGGGATGCACTGGGCTGCACTGGGCAGCAGTGGGGGGGGGGGCTCTTTGTGCTGGCCCGCCCTCACCCTGTGCTGGCCCAGCCGCACCCCCTGCACCCCCCTCCATGACCCCTGCATCCTCCCTGCAGCCCTCCTGTACCCCCCTTCCTCCCTCCTGTGCCCCTCTTGCATCCCTGCACCCCCCTCATGCACCTCCCTGCACCCTTGTGGCCCTTCTGCATCCCCCCTGCATCCCCCAGCACCCCCCTGCATCCCCCCTGCACCCGTCTATGGCCCTTCTGCATCCCCCCTGCATCCCCCCTGCATCCCCCCTGCATCCCCCCTGCATCCCTGCCCCCCCATAGAGCTCCAGCCCTGCAGGCCCCGGGCAGCACGAGTGGGTACATGGGGGGTGCACGGGGGGGTGCACGCATGGAGGGGGGGTGGCGTGCATGTACATGGGGGTGCTTGTGTGTGTATGTGGAGATGGGTATGTACATGTGTGTACATGTGTGCATGTGTGTGCATGTGTGTGCATCCATGTGTGTGCATGTGTGTGCATGTGTGTGCATGTGTGTGCATGTGTGTCCATGTGTGTGAATGTGTGTGCATGTGTGTCCATGTGTGTGCATGTGTGTGCATGTGTGTGCATGTGTGTCCATGTGTGTACATGTGTGTGCATGTGTGTCCATGTGTGTCCATGTGTGTTCATGTGTGTCCATGTGTGTTCATGTGTGTCCATGTGTGTCCATGTGTGTCCATGTGTGTCCATGTGTGTCCATGTGTGTCCATGTGTGTCCATGTGTGTCCATGTGTGTCCATGTGTCCATGTGTGTGCATGTGTGTATCCATGTGTGTGCATGTGTGTACATGTGTGTCCATGTGTGTATCCATGTGTGTCCATGTGTGTCCATGTGTGTATCCATGTGTGTCCATGTGTGTACCCATGTGTGTACATGTGTGTGCATGTGTGTATCCATGTGTGTCCATGTGTGTATCCATGTGTGTACATGTGTGCATCCATGTGTGTGCATGTGTGTGCACATGTGTATCCATGTGTGTACATGTGTGTATCCATGTGTGTACATGTGTGTATCCATGTGTGTACATGTGTGCATCCATGTGTGTACATGTATGCATCCATGTGTATCCATGTGTGTGCATGTGTGTAGCCATGTGTGTACATGTGTGTGCATGTGTGTGCATGTGTGTATCCATGTGTGTGCATGTGTGTATCCATGTGTGTGCATGTGTGTACATGTGTGTATCCTATGTGTGTGCACGTGTGTATCCATGTGTGTATCCATGCATGTGCATGTGTGTATCCATGTGTGCATACATGTGTGTGCATGTGTCTATCCATGTATGTACATGTGTGTACATATGTGTCCATGTGTGTATCCATGTATGTACATGTGTGTGCATGTGTGTGTCCATGTATGTACATGTGTCCATGTGTGTATCCATGTATGTACATGTGTGTACATGTGTGTCCATGTGTGTATCCATGTATGTACATGTGTGTCCATGTGTGTATCCATGTATGTACATGTGTGTCCATGTGTGTCCATGTGTGTCCATGTGTGTATCCATGTATGTCCATGTGTGTCCATGTGTGTGTCCATGTATGTACATGTATGTACACGTGTGTCCATGTGTGTCCATGTATGTACACGTGTGTGCATCCTCCCGCCCCATCCCCCTGCAGCTCGGGCCAGGCCGCGCTCGCTGGGGCTGCGCCTGCAAACGGGGACACTGGGACCCCCCCGGCACTGGGATGTGCTGGGAGGAGCCGGATCCCCACCGGCTCTGGAGAGGAGCAGGCGCTGAAATCCATGGGGAAGCTCCTCGGGAGCTGATGCCCGCGGATCCCCTCCCTGCCCTTGCGGAGCTGCCACAGCCCCAGGGGAAGCTGCGGCTGCAGCAAGGGGGGGTTAAGAGGGGGCTGTTTCCCCTTTGGGGCCCCAATGGGAGCATCAGCGCCCCTTGATGCTGCCGGGGGGGGGGGGTACCCCAGGAGGCACGGGCACCTTGAGCATCCTGAGAGCCCTGAGCACCACAAGTACCCCCCCCCCCCCAGCATCCCCTGAGCATCCCAAGCACCCTGAGCATCCCGGGTACCCCAAATACCCCATGCATCCCCTGCATCCTGGGTACCCCAAACACCCCGTGCACCCCCTGCATCCCAGGTACCCCAAACACCCCATGCACCCCAAGCACCCTGAGCATCCCGGGTACCCCAAATACCCCATGCATCCCCTGCATCCTGGGTACCCCAAACACCCCGTGCACCCCCTGCATCCCAGGTACCCCAAACACCCCATGCACCCCCTGCATCCTGGGTACCCCAAACACCTCAAGTACCCCCTGCATCCTGGGTACCCCAAACACCCCATGCACCCCCTGCATCCTGGGTACCCCAAGCACCTCAAGTACCCCCTGAGCATCCCAAGCACTCTGGGCACCCATGAGCATCCCTGGTACCCCAAGCATCCCAAGCATCCCAAGCACCCCAGGCCCCCCTGATACCCCAAGCTCCCTGGGCACCTTGGGCACACTGAGCACCCCAAGTACCCCATGCATCCCAAGTACCCAGTACACTTTATTCATCCCATGCACCCCAATTTCCTCAGGCACTCCAAGCATCCTGGGCACCCCGAGCACCCCACACATTCCAGGTTATCCATGCATCCTTAGGTTCACCATGCACCCCAAGTTCATCAGGCATTCTGGGCACCCCGAGCACCCCAACACCCTGAGTACCCCAGGGTCTCCAAGCACCCCAAGCACCCTGAGCACCCCAAGC